AGAGGAAATGTTCCTCAAATTATATAATTTCTAGTCTAGTCCCTCACCTTCCTATCAGCCCTGCTGTAGACATGCTCCTGTTTTTCACGCTTCAGCCTGGTATAACGACTCTTTCAGAGGTTGTTTATCTTAGTATAGAGCTGAGTAGGACCATCAAGTGACCCTCTTGTTGGAATTGTAAGATTACATCTCTAAAATTACAGCTAGCTTTTTGTTGGCAGTCAAAACACATTATTTATGTCCCAGTGCACAGATTTGTGCACATTGGAAGGAAATTAATTAGAAGAAATATTTTAATATCACTATTCGCATCTTGCTAATGAAAAGAAAACAGTATTCTACTGAGTCTCCTATCTACCTACTCCAGGACTTCTGTGAGGATCAACTGAGGTGAGGCACGGGAAAACACTTCACAGACATTTGGTTAAACTGTAAAATGTTTGTACCTGGCTATAAAGCAAGTTGGTTTCTGGGCTGAAGAAGCTCCAAGGAGGCTAGTCGCTAGGGAGAGGAAGCCAGGCGTTGCTATGTGATGTCATTACCTGGTGCCCACAGCGACTGTTTCCGGGCTGGGCTGGGTTGTGGGCAGCATTTTGCGCCATGGGGTCTTGACACCGTTGGCTGCGATTTGGTGGGGTGTTGCTCTGGGGTGCTGGAGGGGCCTGTGTCCTACTTGGGGGAAGCCGAGTGTTGGTTTGTTGGTGCCAGGTCTGTGGTGCCATTTATTTTTAAATGGCCAATGAGTGTCATGGCACTCCTGCATTGAGCATCTGCCCTTTGGTGGTCAGTGCGTGTCATAGCTACCGGTTGGATGGACGGACACTTAGCCTTTTATATAGATAGTCAGCTTAATTCAACCATAAGCATGATCTTTCCATTGCAAACTTGAGCAATTGATTTTCTAAACTTAATGCATAAATCTCTCTACATTTCTGTAATATTTCTCCAGGTTCATTTTTGCCTATTGTTTTAGTATTTCAAGGTTTTCTTGAATCTTATTTTCCATAATCCAAAAATCTGACAAAGTCTTCATTTAAGTTGCTAGTAAGCACAGTGAGTAATACAGGGTTAAATATAAAACCTCTTGATTCCCTCCAGGAAGAGGGCAGTCTCTTAGTCAACACTTTGTGGTCACCACTGTTTAATCAGCAATGAATCCACCTAACTGTAGATTTATCTCTCTACTTTGCCTCAGAATACTATCAGAGACTATTAAGAATCTTGCTGAAATGCAGATACACAGTGAATATAGGTTACCCTCCTTGACTTCCGGGCTAATAAGAACTATTAAATCACAAAATACTCTTGTTTTAACATGACTCATTCTTAGTAAACCTATAATCATTTGTCCTTGATCTAACTCTGTTAGGCTGTTAAGCACACAATTTTCAGATTTATTCTGAGGTTTAGAGAGATGAGATCTTGGGAAAGCCTGTATGAATGCTGGAACAGGGGAAGCAGCTAGGAAAAAAACCCACACCTAGTACCTGAATTCTAGCATAGGCTATTGAGCATATGTCTGCTGTGCTGAGAGGCCATACCTTCCCCAAAGGCTGTACCATTGGACTTTCCTTGGACTACTTTATCCAGCCCTAAGGATGGGACATCTCCCATCTGGACACACTTCCCAAGAAAGGCATAGGAACTTACGTCTCTCCTAGGAAAGGTGCTCAGTAACTTGAACTCATTCCATGGAAATCCTTTGGAAGTTACAAAATCAAAGACAATCTGGAGCTTATTGCTGGCCAGAAAACGCCTCTCGAGGAACTCTCCACTGGGGGTACGGATCCGCAGTTTGCTCACGGGTTCAGCATCTTCTTTTGGCTCTGGAGGCAGGGCCTGCTCTAAGGAGAGCCGAATGGCCTAAGGAGAGCAAGAACCAGGTGTTAAATTATGTAATGGGTGAGACTGTGGGGAATGGGGGAGAGATTAGAAAAAAGCTGCTGCTTGCTAGAAACTCATCAGAAAGTTATTTCCCATTTATTAACCAAACCTAACACTTGAACAACAGACCCATGTGTTTTTCATTTTCTTAATATCAGCCCAGCGATTTTCAAACCTTTTCATCTCATGGCATACATAAACTAATAAAATCTGTGGCACACCAAAAAATATATTTTTTACTGATCTGACAAAAAAAGGTATCATTTTGATTGGTATATATTACCTAACCTTTTGCTCCAAAGTGATTTTTCAAAAAATATATTTTTATTGATTTCAGAGAGATGGGAGAGGGAGAGCAAGATAGAAACATCAATGATGAGAGAGAATCATTGATCAGCTGTCTCCTGCATGCCCCCTACTGAGGATTGAGTCCACAACTCAGGCATGTGCCCTTGACCAGAATTGAACCTGGAACCCTTCAGTTTGAAGGTCGGTGCACTATCCACTGAGCCAAACCAGCTAGGGCCAAAGTGATTAAAAAAAAATCAGGTGCCTATAATTGTATATAAGGATTTCTGGTACTAAGAATTAACCAATCAGGGAGAAACCAAGATGGTGGCATAGGTAAGCACCGGAAATTGCTGCCTCCCACAACAAATTCAAAAATACAACTAAAAGACAAAACAGACATCATCCAGAACCACAAGAAGGCTGGCTGAGTGGAAATTCTACAAT